AGCTTTCACCACTTCAGGACCATTCAGGATTTTCATACCTGAATGGTCCTGAAGTGGTGAAAGGTTCGAAGACCCTGAAAACCACCTGTTTAGGCAGGCTGCATCTTGAAGTGGTGAAGGGTGTCCTGAAGTGGTAATGAAAAATACGGCTGTTGTTAACCTTCTCTCGGATTGCACGGGCTGAAAAACCCGAATGGAAGAAGTATTGAGAATGACAAAAAACATGGATTGCACGGGCCGAAAGACCCGAATCGAAGAAGCATTGAGAATGACGAAAAACATGGATTGCACGGGCCGAAGGACCTGAATGGAAGAGGTATTGAGAATGACGGAAAGCATGGATTGCACGGGCCGAAGGACCCGAATGGAGGAAGCATTGAGAATGACGGAAAGCATGGATTACACGGGCCGATGGACCCGAATGGAAGAAACATTGAGAATGGTGGAAAGCATGGATTGCACGGGTCGAAGGACCAAGTGAAAGAGGCATTGAGAATGACGGTAGTCGAAAAAGGACCCTGGCAAGCTAACTACTTGTCTCACCCCACCCCCCCCTTCCGTCTACCCCCTCCGAATCCTCCTACTGACTATGGACTGGTGCACGATGAGGACATCACGAATGAGTGGGGGGAATGTGTCGGGACCGGTGGGTCCCGAATGACTTCCCATCACTCGAGAGCTTGTATAGAGCCAATTTGTGCACGACAGAGAAATCGGGAATAAGAAGGAACGGGAAGAGAAAGAGCGAAGGACTAGGCTGCCAAGAGCAACGACGCCCCGGGTTGGGAATCGCAGGAAAGAGCTAGCGGCGGCAGGAGAACAGGCGCGGAGGCTCGGGCGTGGAAGGGCACGGCCTGAGGACAGACGGGGCACTAGAGTTCGAGACAACGGAGGCCAAGGGGATGCATGGGACCAAAGGGAGAGCAATGGTAGTGGGGACTAAGTGTCGGGGACTGCCGACGGGACTAAGTATCGGGGACCGCCGGCGGGACTAAGTGTCGGGGGCCGCTGACGGGACCAAGTATTGGGGACCACCGACGAGACTAAGTGTCGGGAACCACCGACGATACTAAGTGTCGGGGACCGCCGACGGGACTAGGTGTCGGGGACCACCGGCGGGACAAGTGTCGGCTGTCCACGGCGGAACGAGTACCAAGGAATAGCGTGGGACAAGTGACGGGGACTCGTGATGTCTCAAGAGAAAAACCAAGGAGCGACGTGAGGTGCAAATAATTAAAGCAAGGCGCACCGTCAAGATCAAGGATCTTGACGACCAAAGAATATTAGCTTCACTAGTGTGGGTACTAGTGAGAGCGAATGGGGAGTCTAAGAAGAAAAAGAAAAGTGAAGGAAATCGAAGTGGGAGGCATGGGAGCAATCCGAGAAATCGGCTGCTGATCGGCGTAACCTGAGCAGCGGGCCTACGTCTTGCCAAGAAAGTAAAGACTTAAAGGGGTGTGGCCACCTAGGAGGCTTTTACTTCTGTGCAACGACGTGGGATAGGAGTCGAGTTGAGTCTTTTTTTGTCCTGACTAAATGTGTATCATGAGAAAGTCTATCGTGGCGTAACGTGCGAGGACACTACCGCTAAAATAATAGCGCGGTGGGCCGTAGATCTGGCACGATCACCCAGACTATGGTGGGCCAGGGTGGAGACCTGACCTTCCTGTATTAGACTGCAGGAATAATCTATGATTAGATTTGTATATATATATATATATGTTTAATTGCAAGAATTATTGGAGGGAGGCAAGAATGCCTTTAAAAGTCTCAGTTAGGGCCCGGGTTCCTGAGTATGGCCCTGCTTGCAGGGTAGAGACTAGGAATACCTAACGAGAAACCGGCGTTTGTCTAGGACAAAGGGGAGAGGACAGTAGAAGAATCCATTAAGACTTGTGTTGTAGTATAGTGATGAGTATCCTACTGTCCTAGTATCCTACTGTCCTAGTATCAGGACGATGAAAGCATATAGTTGTATGAGCTTGGATTGTTGGAGGCCTCGAACCTAAGTCTGTCGGTTGATCGGATTGGTTCCTTTCTCGTTAGCATTTGGAGTTTTGGATGGATTTATAGCTTTTTTATTCTGCAAAGCGACGAGGACGTCGCTTAATATGGTCCGGTAAGTTATCGGTGTGAATAGCCTTACAAGTGTATCCGGTCTGGCTTGGTTTTAAGTATTATGCGCAAGGCGCGGCTGCGTTTGTAGTTTACGTTAGCTAGATGGTTGACGAGAGTAGAGAGTCTGTGGGCGCGCAGACTTAAGGCGCACGTGATCTCTTTCGTTTTTTATGATTGTGGAAACCGGCGTTCATCGCCGACCATATTTTTCATTATTATTACTTTTTTAATTAAATTAGGGTTAAAAAAATTATGTCTCGTTGATTGATACGTCTGCCTGTGACTTATGCGTACGTGCGGAGGGCGACGTCGACAACAGGGTGATTTTGAAAACGTTTTGGTGAGTCTGCACGCCTTGCAGTATTCGTTTATTTAAGCGTCCGTTAGAACTAGGCCCGACCTTGGGCCTAGCACTAGCAGTTACAGCATCGAACTTTCATCATAGGAATTCAGGGATCGAGATCGAATGACAGCGGCGCGAGAATATCAGAGCAGCGCGAGGAGACCGAGCGGTTGAGGGTCCCGCGTTGCCTTGTGCAGTGTCGGACCGATGCGCTCGACAACGCCGAAGAGTATCGTTCATCTTTTATGTGTGGCCATCAGTCTGGGGGTGAAAGGCGGTGCTGTACTTGAGGGTGGTCCTGTATTCCTTGAAGAGATTTCTCAAAAACTTTGAGAGGAATCGAGAGTCACGATTACTGATAATGTTTTCTGGGAGACCGTAAGGACGGGTGACGTGGTCGAAGAAGAGTTTGGCAACGTCCTTGGCTTGGCAGGTGGTGGTGCAAGGGACGAAATGAGCGTGCTTGGTAAGGCAACAGACAACGACATAGATGCAATCGTGACCATGGTTGGTCGTGGGGAGACCACAAACGAAGTCCATCGAGACATATTGCCAGTGGTGGGTGGGTATGGGGAGAGACTCGAGTTTGCCAACCTTGGCTTGGTTGGAGGGATTCACGGCTTGACAAGTCGGGCAAGAACGAATGTAGGTTTTGATGTCGGCAAGGAGCGAGGGTCAGTAGAGATAACGGGAGAAGTTGTCGAAGGTTTCTTGGAAACCGAGGTGTCCGACAGTCTTGGCGTCGTGGTGTTCAGCCAAGAACTGGGTACGGAGACCACGGACGGAAGGGATGCAAAGGTGGCGGGTTTCTTCGGTGTCGATGTAGAGGAGATGGTCGATAAGGGAATAGTCAGGGACAGTGTCAAGGTCGCGAAGTTTGGTGTAGGTAGTGGCGAAGTCGGGGCAGGAGGCGTAGCCATGGATGAAGCGATGCTGGAGAGATTGGGGGAGATTGACGTGCATCATGGCAGGGAAGACTTTCTCAGGGGGCTTGTGATCAGGTCGGCGAGAGAGAGCGTCGATAACACGATTGGTCTTATCGGGAGTATGGCAGATGGTGAAGATAATCTGGGCGAGAAAGTCCAGCCAGCGGGCCTGGCGAGGGGTGATATCGTTTTTGGTGAGGATACCGGAGACGACGGTGTTGTCAATGCGAATAGTAAGTACTAGCCATGGAGGTAAGGGCATCAGACTTTAAGGGCATAAATGACGGCGAGGAGTTCCTTCTCATTGGAGGGATAATTTATCTCAGCAGCGATGAGCTTCTTACTTGCGAATGTGATAGGGTACTCGCTGGGAGGTGCTTCGGATCGCGTGGGGGAATCTTTGATAGTGGGGGGGTCGCGAGGGAAATGTTGGGATAGAGTTGCGCCACGGCCAAAGTTTGAAGCGTCGGTGGTAACGTAGAAGTGGCGAGAAGGATCGACGATCTTGAGAACAGGGGCAGTAGTGATGAGGTGTTTGAGTTTGTTGAAGGCAGCTTGGCGGCATTCGGTCCATGTGAAGGATGATGTGGGTGAGCTCATGGAGTGGATAGGCGGTGTCAGAGAAGTTATGGATGAAGGGGCGGTAGTAGTTAGCGAGTCCAATGAATGACCGAAGTTGGGGCAAGGGCAAGGTTGTGGGAGGTAGGAACTCGACGAGAGCGGCGACCTTCAAGGGGTTCATGCTGATACCGTCAGAAGAGACAATGAAGCCAAGGTAGTACACGCTTGAGGCGACCAAAATGCATTTGCTACGCTTAGTGTAGAACTTTTGCTCGTGGAGGGTGGAAAGTACCTTCTCGATGTGCTGAAGGTGGGACTTGAAGGTGGGACTGAAGACAAGGATGTCGTCGAGGTAGATCACAACACAGACGTCGAGGAGATCGTGGAAGATGTGGCTCATGGTGGACTGGAAGGTCGTTGGGGCATTTGTGAGGCCGAAAGGCATCATTACGAACTCGTAATGCCTGAAGCGAGAGCGGAAGGCGGTCTTATGGGTATCTTCCTTGCGAATACGGATCTGGTGGAAGCCATTGTGGAGCTCAATCCTGGTGAAGTATTTGGCTCCGCGGAGGCGATCAAGAAGTTTAGATATCCGGGGGAGTGGATACTTATCCGGTTCAAGGCGTGGTGTCCGTGCACATGTAGAGCTCCGAGGTGCCACGTTTTTTGACGAAAAGGCAGCTGGTTCCGAAGCGGGATGAGCTAGGCTTAATGAATCCGTTTCCAAGGAGTTCATTGAGCTGGCGCTTCATCGCTTCGGTCTCGAGGACGGAGAGTTGGCACGGAGGGCGACAAGGAGGGGTATGGCCGGGTTCAAGATCGATGGTGTGAGATACACCTCGGTCGGGTGGCAAGCCAGCAGGGAAGGACTCGGGGAAGACATCCTTGAATTCTGAGAGGAGAGAGGTGATGCGAGGGTCGGACGGGAGGGCTTTGTTGGGTTTGTCAGTCGGAATCAAGTCCTCAGGACGCTTGCAGTCGATGACGAGGCAATAGTAGCTGAAGTCAGGGTGTTGGCGGGACATGTGGAAGAATTGGTGGGGTGAGACGGGGGTGGGGTGGTAGGGGGGGAATGTAAGGGATGTCAATGGTAGAATTCAGAGTAGAAGAGAGGCGGATGAAGGAGGGATAGAAAGAGTAGGGCATGTAGCGATCAATCCAAATAGTTCCCAGGACGACGTGGCACATGAGGTGCATGACGTCGAAGGAGATATGACTGCGGAGGGAGCCGACAGGCATGGTGACCTCGGGATCTGTGTGATCGATGATGACAGAGTCCTTGTCCGTTAAGCGAATGGTGATCGGGGAGTCGTAGCTGGTTGAGGGGAGACCAACTTTGGGGACACGGGCATCGGTAATGAAATTGTCGTTAGCCCCGCCATCGAGGAGGGCCCAAAACTTCACTGTCGATGCGCCGAGGGAGATGGATATGAACTTGAGTTGGAACTGGGCGGTTGCAACACAAGCGGCGAAGATCATGTTGTTGAGGCGGCATTGTTCGGTGCCTAGTCTAACAAGCCGGTTGTGCCACACTTGTTTCCTCAACAACATCGGAGAAGGTGATGTGAGAGGGATTTGGGAGAAGGGTAGAGGAACACGTGTCAGTGATGAGCTCAACCGACGAGTGAGAGACGTTGTCGGGAGGGGGGCAGGTGGAGTAAGCTGCGACGCATGAGTGTCATCCGGTGGGGTATGTGTCACCGGAGGTGGGGGTGTCAGACGGATTGTCGATGCCAATATGGGGCCTGTTGACTAGTTGCCAATGCCGGGGCGCGGTCGCGAGAGGCAAGGGGACAATGTTCATGTGTGGGAGGGTCCCGATGGTGGGGTGGCAGATATGACAGGCCGAGGTCATGTGGAGTAGGGAGCTTGTCGAGTGAACTGGCTAGCGTTGGTGTAGCTGCTTTGCTGGTGGCCCAACTGACGACACTGTTGTTTGGAGGTAGGCACGTTCCTCCGGGGTAAGCTTCGTTAAGCGAGGGGGCGAGGTGGAAGAAGTTGCGCGAGCCTGGCGGTTTCCACACTCCATCCTGAGGAGATGGATGGTGTTTTCTTCTTGGGTGAAAGATGGGGGGTCGATAGAAGTGGACTTGGTGTCGGGGTCGGGTGTGGAGAACTCATCTGACATCGTGGTGGTGAGGGCGTCGTCGGAAGCAATGTTATGGAAGAAACGTGTTCGGGAAGGGACGGAGGGGATAGCGGCCTTGTGAGTTGAGAGGAGACTGTCGATTCGGAGAATGCGGGAAAGAAGATCGGATAAGGTTGTGGTGGACTTATGGACGAGGAGGGCGGTGATTTCGCAGTTCGAGACCCGCTTGAGGAGGGAGATGAAAGTGTCGTCGGTGATCAGGTGGATGGGAATATGCTGTCGTAGTGAGCGGACATATTGGACATAGTGGTCGGTGGGGCCATTTTGGGGAAGGCAGCAGAATTGGTCGATGTAATCATCGACGATCTTTTGTGGGCGGAAGGTGGTTGTGATCAGCATAGCCGACTCGAGGAAGGAGTGCGATGGCTGGCCGCTGAGTTGGTGTTTGGCAACTTCGGTGAACCACCAGCGGGCGGCGTTGGCAAGGAGTCGTGTATCGGCTATGGGTAGCCAGTGGATGACGGGGACGGTGTGGAGGTAGAAAGCTTGTTGGAGTTGGGTGAGAGAGAGATACATCCTCATTGGGGTTACCGGAAAAGGTTGGAATGTCATGGGCCCGGAATGTGCGAGGGATTTCGTCATAACTAGGGACATGGGTAGCGAGTGTGTTGAAGTCGAGGGTGGGTGAGGCGTCAACGACGCGGGTGAAGTCATGTTGGGGGTTTGTTGCAAGGAGGGCATTCGGGGGATGTTGGGAAGGGCGGGGTGTGACATGGCGGTGACCTGGGAGTAGGTGGGCATCCAGAGGGAGGTGATGATGGTTGAGGTTGAAATGGGTTGTGAGAGGGGAGGTGGGGGTACGGATTGGGTGTCGAGGGGATGGTGCAGCAATTGGGCAATGAGAGGGGTGGAGGAGGGAGAAGGTGGGTGGGACACACCGGTGGTGGCCGTTGGGATGGGGGTGGTAGAAGCTGGGGTGGCGGATGGACCGGTGGTGGAGATGGAGATAGAAGCGTTGGAGGTGGGACTGGCGGATGGACCGGCGGTGGAAGTGGAGGTAGAAGAGGTGGAGGTGGGAGTGGGAGTGAGGAAAGGAGGACGTGGGGGCAAACTAGAACCCGACGTGGAAGTGGGAATCGTGGTAGTGACCACCTGGATGGAAGGGTTCGATGGGCCATGTTATCTATCCGGCCGGAGAGGCCGGAGATGGAGGTGGCGAAGGAGGATTGGAGGGCACGGATGATGTCTTGCATGGATTGCATCATGGTGACTAGGAAGATGTTGGTGGCAGTAGCTTCAGGCGTGGGGTGTTCTATCGTGAAGTCACGAAATCGTGGTAGTGACCACCTGGATGGAAGGGTTCGATGGGCCATGTTATCTATCTGGCTGGAGAGGCCGGAGATGGAGGTGGCGAAGGAGGATTGGAGGGCACTGATGATGTCTTGCATGGATTGCATCATGGTGACTAGGGAGATGTTGGTGGGGGTAGCTTTAGGCGTGGGGTGTTCTGCCGTGAAGTCACGAAGCAGGCTGTCTACGGATGCGGGTGTCAATGGCGCTCATGTTGATGGTTGAGGAACCGTTCACCATTGTGGAGGGAGAGGTTGGGGGCGAGGAATTAGAAGTAGCGGTGGAGGCGGCGGCTGCAGCGGCGTGCTCAGCGGCCTAGGCGGCGACACGCATAAAATTCTTGGTGCGGCGAGGCATGGAAGGGAAGAAGATGTGTAAATTTTACCATTTTTTTTTGTTATTAAATTGAATCTTTAATGCATTATGCATTAAAGGAAACACTCAAAAAATTATGGGGGAATTAATTGAAATCCTAGGCTACCGGACTGGCCCGGGGTTACTTACCCGACCGGGCCAAAAAAAATTAAAAAATTATTATTATTTTTTTAAATATATATATATATATTCAAATTTTATTTCCCTATACTCTTAAAGAATGCAAAGGGCCCAACGTAACGCTGCCCACTGGGCCCAACGAAATTCGGTGTGGAGGCGGGCGAGACTCGGGCAAGGTAAATCGGCCTCGATGTTTCGTGGCGGTGTTTGGTGGTGGGCGGATGGGGGCCCGAGTGCAGTGCACTGCGGTGCGCGAGTGCGAGAGAGTGCGAGAGTGCGGTGGGCCTGCGGCTGATGAGTGCGGGAGTGCGGTGCGGTGCGTGAGTGCGAGAGTGCGGTGGGCCTG